TGGTCTTGGTTTAGTGATGCTTTTTCAGTTGGCATTGTATTTAATGCTCAGTTTTTATGTTGTTCATGAACTTGGCGTTCGGGTAACTCGAGGTCCATGTAAGTGGGTATCCTTCGGTTTCGAAATACCATATGATGCCACGCCCGATCTTAACAGTGGCATGCAACCTCCACTTCAAAGGACCTTGGTTTTTTCGGTTATCCGGTATATCAAGCAGGTTTTTTGGGTATCAAATTGTACGCAACTTGTAAAGCTCTCTCGTCTCACGTCATTCGTGCACTATTTAATGAATTTTTCAAAGAATTGAGGGTGTATATGATGTTTGTTGCCCGCAACTGTTTGTTGTGTCCTAATGTGATCAGTCCTGCTGTTATCTAATGAAACAAGTTAAACGTAGAATTGTACGTAATTTACATGTTACAGTGTTGTCCCCGACTCCGACTGATGGGTTGCACTGAACTATCCTGACTGCGCGAACTCGTGAAGTTCGATACTCATGTTCAAATCTTTTTGTTTTGATGTTTTGTTGTCAGCATGGTCAAACCCTTCGTATAGGGGGAGCTATACTGTTATTGTGTTACCGAGTTTTCTGTTTCACCCTGCTCCTTTCCCCGGGCAAATTTAATCTTTGTTGGTTCCCATTCCTCAGAGTGTACTAGTTTGTTTGCAGTCCATCACACCTAGATGTGTGTGGGGTCAGAAATGCTGTTCACCAGTTTGTGGCTTTGTACATCATTTTTGTGTTCTCACGGGAACAAACAAAACGGTCCATTTAGCGTTTGGAATTATTTGACCACCTTTTCTCCTCCTGTTCGCAGTAAACTATATATCACCGACAGGGAATCCTGTGTACTGGCACTACGTTGTGCGGATATTGTGTGTTGCGCTCGCAGTCTCCGGGCGTGTACGGATCAATCGCTCGAATGGGCACAATCGGTACTGCCTCTACTGCTCAGCACTCTACAGTCGCCCAGTCACCAGGTATGGAAATGATGGTTTACTCCTCGATGATTTGCATTTATTTTGGCAATATAACCCATTTTCATGCTTACCCTCTGTAAATCTCGGTTGTTATAAGATCCCGAAGTTTTCACCAGCTCATTCCAATTCCTGCGTTCCATCTGCATCGCATCCAACTACAGGCTCGTTTGCACACACTCCGAATTTTGACTGTTCTCTTCGGTACTTTACGGTCCATGGAAAGCACCGAATCATCGGACACTGCCATTCTGTCTGTTCTTTCGCGTTGTCTTCGTGCGGAACGTACCAAATTGGACATACAATCAGTGCGCGAGTTCCTCATTCCCATTCTACACCTACACGCGCATCGTGATGGCATCAAAGATCATCCAATCTCGGCCCAGGTGCGCACCTTTTTTCACTGATTGTATGAGTTATGGTAATATTCATTTAAACTTGTAACCTTGATGTTCAGGTAACGTTGGAACAAATCAGTCGTCACATTTGATTGATGACTTACTCACGTACCACCATTTCCGTTTCAATCACATTCTGTTCGTTACTGTTCGTAGGTTTTTTGACAAGGGGGATGTTTGCAAGTATTTTCCAACAACTTTCATTTCCCTTATGATCGACAGATAGCTTTGCACCACTTACTCGGCCTACTACACGTACAACTGACCTCAATATGGCCGAGTATTCAGGAAGCTGTGGCAAGCTACGCCGAAATGCCGCAACAGCGCTCGGATTCGAAGCCGCGACCGACCGGCGAACACAAAGTCACAGATTCTAACCAAAAACCTGCTCCGGACACAGTTGAAGATTGGCGTTACGTAGCCAGCCGTATTTACTGGTCAATATTGGAGCCCGCTCTTGAATTATCAGCGGCACGCATGGTGACTGTGGATGATGGTCACAAAGTTGTGCAGAGTAGGTTTTATTGTTCGCACTTCAATGATTGACTTACAGACTCTTCAGGTCGTGCAAAGGACTGCGTCATGCTCGAAATAGATAACCAATCGGATTTATCTGCCTTGTATCGAGAACTGACGTGTGATAAACTGGACGCAGCTCAGGTTCACATTTATGGAAAGAAGGACTCGAGTGTGGATCGAAAATCCGTGGACTGGCAATCCTATCACCTAGCGTTGTGGCGTTGTTTACGACCCGCGAGTGCTGGGAAGAAGACTCGATTCCTGGCACCACTTCTGCTCAATCGAATTAGGTAAGACCGCTTTTTCGGATCACGTTTAACCGGCTGATGAACATCAATCCAGTGACTTTGTCTTTGTAGAAAACACTAACCGGTTAGCTTTGGAATATTTGAGAATGAAGACGCCATTCTCCGCCCAAAGGATTGAACACGCGAATAGTCATTTGATTTCTTTTTTTATGCCTTCTCTGTTTATTGAATATACAAGCAAACAATCCAGTTTAATGGAGAAGGCCGAGGCGTTACTAATGTTCCCTGGGGAAGTACAGCAGTGGGAAAGATGAATGATGGTGGTGATCGGGTTCAACCTCAGCACACCGGAGTCACTATCCCAGGTGTTTACCATTTGAACACCACCACCCAGCTTATATACAATCATAGCGACTGAAACGTTTTGTGTTTAATCACAACCAATGCTATCGGGGCCTGCTGGGTTGAGTATGTAAGCCTTACAGTATATTATACTTTCACTAAACTGCTCCGTAGAACTATTTGATAAAGATATTCGCGTCACGTCAGAGTTGATTCATTCTGCTATCTATGTGCCAGTCGGTATTTACTGTTTTTATATCCCCCTCACAGACTCCGGCTCCAAAATGGCCTGCGCAAATCGGAGGAGGAGTGAGTCGTTATTTTCCTGTCCTTATTCGTTGAAAATTTGTCGCATGCCGTGATGGCAAACCCTTTTGAGAATCGATTACTTATCCGCACAAGGAAGCTTTTTGCGTGATGTAACGAGGAGTTCACGTTTTGTGTTCACATTTGGGAGCGTAGGTCGTATTCTCTAGGCACAGCGTATTTTGCCTAATTCAGAAATACGCTCACTGCTTTCCTTCCCACTCCTTATGATCATGTGTTTCAAATCTTCAAATCTCGTGAGTTACCTGTGTTTTGACCAAAACGTCGTCTTTCCGTCTGTCGCTGTGCTTTTTCGGAGGAGCTGTGGTAATTACGCGTCTGTTCCAATATAATTTGCTACCTGTCATTTTGAGCATCCCCTAAGCTTTTGATCATGTCTCTCAGTAGCCATTCGTTTTACTATATACTCGTTCTCCGAAGGGTGATGTTTAGAGACTGAATTTTTTAAATCACCACAGTACATTTAAGTTCTTGTTTATCTGTACCGTTTGTTCATTCACTCTGATCGTTTTAAGGTGGCTACTGGTCGCGCTCGATTTGTTTTCGAAATTCCATAATATCAAGTCCATATATCAGGAACCGGAATTCCGATCACTCATGTATGAGGTGAGTCACCCTTTCTGGATCAGCATGCACTTTACTTTTTTCGTAAAGTTCGCTTTTTTCACTGATTCTTCAAGTGCAACCCTGTACTGGTGTTTTATGTCACATTTGTGATTCAATTCCAGCTGCTAACCAATCCTCGACCACATGTTCAAAAAGCGGCATTTCGTTGTTTGTTGGCGTACAAGAATATGGCCCTAAACAACTACAGGTAAGCGATTTCCTTCCCAATTGATATTATCAAGTTTGTGAGTGGTGTGGCGTTATCCGTGAATCACGCTTGTCTGTTTTCCGGCTTTTCTTAGTGAACAAATAGAAAAGATTATCGATCCACGAATGTTCCGCGACGAAATACGAACATTCCGATTGGATGTCAATATCCAGGATCCCGATCATCGTAATCATGTTGCTCCCATTTTTCTACGGTGAGTGGTTTACAATTGGTTACCTTTTTTCTCAAGTGTTTTGTGGTTCCACCTAGACGATATTCTATTCTCAGTCGTCCGATTCCGCTAATTCGTGCTTTTCGCGGTTTAACTTCTTCCAATTCGTTTTCCGAATTCAGTATCCTGTACGGTCGATTACAGTTATCCAAAGGACTGTTCGCTCCGGCCATCTTCACCAACCTCGCTGCTTGTACCGAATCGGAGTTCTCCATATTCCTCGGTCTTCTCTTGCAACCGTTACTGGAGAAAGCTGTCACTGTTCCCGACAATGAGAATCGCCCAGTCGCAGTTCAATCGCTTCAAACGACCGACCTTTGTATGTTCATACGAAATCTGCGCTGTCGTGTTCAGAGTTCCTCTTTCACAGCTGATTCGTTATCTTGGTCTCAACTTCAAGCGTGAGTTCTGTCTTCCACTGTGAGCGTTGTCTTTCGGGACTTTTGTGCGAATATTGGTGTTTTGTTTCTAGTGTCTTGGATGCAATAATTCTGTTTCGCAATCGTACAATCTGTGGAAGACAAATGCTATAGGTGATCTGTAGTTGGCATATCCCGTGATCACCATGATGTGCACGTGAACAAAGCCGATTCTTGGGGAAAGAAAAGTCGAAAAAGTATTCACCTCAGTGAAATGCAGACTGTTTATTACTCATGACTAAGTAACAGTATTGCTGTATAACACAGAGACTTGGCTTACAGCTATATGAACACAACCAGCGGAGCATCCGGGTACGCAATATCGAAGTAATGCCCAGAGTTCTGGGCAGTTGTGGTCGTCTATTACAACAAAACTCGAAGTCACGTAGATTACACCAATCGAGCGTGAACGATGGCGCTTCATGTACTTTGTCTTCATACTGTCCTCAACTTTCTGACGTGCGGTTTAGCACTCGTTGTGCGATCAAATGAGTGGATGAGTATCAGCTAGCGAAACCCTCGCACTATCGTACGAGATTAATAGCTTTTGAAAACTTGAATTACGCCTGCATTTTTGTCCACTATGTTTCCTCTATCGGAATTGTTTTCACTTCAACTCCAGACTTGCCAAAGTTTTGAACAACGTTCTGGATTACATGGGTCATCGTTTAAACCAGAATACTAGTGGTTCCAGTGACCACGTTCCAGTTGTTTCGAGCCCGGGCCATTTGGATATTCTGTTCCGACTGGGATTGTGCCTGGTTGCAATGACCCAGACTGCATCGGAATTGCTGTTGTCTAAAAGTTCATCGGACTTGGAACATGAGCGACTCATGCATTTACCACACCCCGCACAAGTGAAAAAAATCCGTGCTGTAGCCGTACGTTTGTTGGAACATATATTCAACTCGAATCTACGATCGGGGACTTTCTTCCTATCTGACGGGCGTATGGCAGCCATTCAAGAAGTCTGTCTTTACCAGCCCATGCTCGCCAAACTTATAGGAACGTCCACAGTCTCCACGAACCATCTACTACTCACAATGGTTGCCACCTGGTCTACTCACCCGCAACTGGCAGCAGGTCTTCTTCCTGGCCCGTGCTTGGACACAATCATGTCACTTCTGACCTCAAAGAACTTGAGCACAGTTGTCACTGAACGTTTGATTCAAGTTGTTTGCAATCTGTTGTTTAACGATGGTAAGCATTAGTTCGCTTGAGCCTCAACCGTTTATATCTCGTGCATCGTTCGTCTCTTTTTAATATCCACTCCAGCTACTTCACTGGCTGCTCCTACGCAGGTACAGTCCTTATGAAGGGTAGCACAACTCGCGGCTTTTTGCTCCGCGGTGTGCATATTAATTTTGTTGAACTGCTGTTTTGGAGCAGCATAGTTTCTGTTTTTCCTCGGATCACCGTTTAGCCCTAAAATGTTCTCTGTGGTTGAAATAGTTTCGATTGGCACTGTTAAATTCTACCACGACACACGTGGGAAATATATGACGTAAACCAACCATGCGGTGGCGTCCCTAATTCCTGCATCTTACGTACTCTTCGGTCATCCCAATGGAACAACTGCTATGCATCGATTTTTCGATTTGCTGTTCTTCTTGGCACAGGTTCCTGTAATGAACTGAATAAGAGAACCGCCGTCATTAAATCTCACCCTTCAGATTAGGTAAATTCCGAGTGCCGAACCACAGTGTTTTCAAAAGCAATTCTGCCAGTGGTCTATGTCACTGCTAAGCGGTGTTTCATCGATGCCAACATTATTGGCCTTTGAAATTCGAGCACCATTGAGCACAGAACTAGCGTACTTCAACCACCGGATGGATGGTCACGATCTAATTCGTTTCTGTGTCGTTCAGTTTTAACGGGGTTCAAAAGCAGTAGTTCAGTTCACTTATGCATTCGTTTGTCTTGCATATACGTTGAATTTCATCCACTCAATATATTCCCTTCGTATGTAGAGATGCAACCCGTTGGACGCGAAATTTTACGAGCACATCACGCGGCGCTTATCCGCTATCTGCACGATCGAATGCGACAGTTGTCACAGACCAAAACCCTACAGATATTTCGTCGCTCGAAAACCCAAAATCAAGGGCTACGTCTTTGTCAAGAATTTAAAATTATTGGCTATTTGGCCACATGTGCGAGCCCTAATCAACATGATGCTGATGACTCCGCTGACAGACTTTCCCCTAGTCAAGCTGATTGGCTTCTGAATGGATTGCTGGCATTGTTAACCAGATGTACCATCAAGACGAGTCGGAACGCGAGACGATCGTCCGATGAATCGTCCGGCCACGTTCGTGTCAACTCAGATGCCACGGCTCATGCGGCAGAACAACAAATGGCTACCGCTGAAGAACTACAAGCCGATCTGATTCACGCTGTAACCCGACTAGCAACTATCGCGGACAACTATGAGCAACATTTGAGGTAAGACTGTCATGGTGAGCTACCGTTCCTGATACCTTTCATAATGATATAAGAGCATTTAGTCCTTGAGCAATAGAACCCCAGAACCACTATATTTTAAGATCAAAGCCGGTAATACTCTTGAACTGATAATCAACATGGCGTCTCTTCTATTGTTTCAGACGTATCCTAGCTCTTTTCACGCGAATTGACTCTCGAGTTTCTCGAGGTTTGCTTTGCCAATCTGTAGAAGCGTGCACTCATCGGCTACCAGCCATCCCTCTCGGAACACTCAAGTTGCTGCTCGAAATCTCTCAGAATTCTCCGCGTCGGCTGCTAAACTACGTCGACAAGAGAACCAATCACGAGCTTCCTTCATTCAAATTGTGCCCGGAGATCTTGATGAGAGTAAGCCAGTAACCATCTCCTGACATGCGTTTGCGGTCCCCATTCTATATTAAACCATAAATATATGATTTGAAATCCTGAATTTTACAGCACACGATAGCCTACTATCTTATTCTAAGGAAGTTTATGCCTGATTGGTATTTTTCATTCATGCCATAATGTTTGTCGGGAATATTCAACCGGAAAACCATGTTTCCAAGACAGTTTCAGTCAAAATCTCACGAAACTTTGTGCGAAGTTCAGCTGTATTTCATTCATGGCATCGGTTCTGAGCATCTCTATACATTCTTCGCCCAATAAACAGTATACAAGCGACAGTCATTGGCCAAACATGGAATCCGTCTTTGGTTGTTTGCTGTATCATTTTAACAGATTCTAATCAGAACAATGGCTTCATCCGTGCCTTGAATCATTTCCGTTGCCAACAACCTGGAACTTGATGTGGACTCTGGGACATGTAAATAGGTTGAGAATCAGTTCATCTAAAGGTCGGAGAAACCACACATCAAGAAAGCTCATTAGTAAGGTGCAGTTTGCGCATTTCCTCATTGAAACTACATTGTTCTTAAATCGCTATCGTTTTTCTAAATTCAATTAGTTTTTCCCATCCCAAATCAGGACTGAACTAATGCTAGTGGGGATTCAGAATCCGATGTTCGCTTCAGTGCCTAACTCTTACTCCTTTCTTTCTGTCATGCTTTTCCCCCCAGCTCAATTCATGGGATCAGTCCCGACTGGAACAGCCGGATGTCGCACGTCGTGAGAATGCTTTCGGTCTTTTGAGCGAGCTATGTGATCTAGTCCGATTGCAACACCCTCCTCATCAAAGCATATACGTTCACTTGGGTGGTGTGAGCTGTGCTCTCCACACCTTGGCTCATGCAGATCTTCAACTTCGGGATGCTGCGTTGGATTATTGTCTGCGACTTGCCTCGGCTATCGACTCTTGTGCAGACAGTGAGAATAAGCGAGCTTTCTATCACCCTCTTATACAACACTGCCTTTGGCAAGAATTATTGCGTCTGCTACGCGATCCACGCGTGGTCGGTCCAAAACGTTTGCATTGCCTTCGATTATTGCGCGGGCTTATCGAACAGTTTCGCTCGGAACAATTGTTCGCTCCGCTCACTCTTTTGCTCGACAGCGGCAGGTCAACTCCGGCAGCAACTGCATCAGACTTTTTTGCCAATCTGCAAAGCGGTGCGGTGTCCAGACAAGCACAAGCGATACGTAGACTTGCTCTGTTTCTTCACAATCCCTTGACCATCGTGGGCAAGAAAGAACTAACTCGAGTAAAGAATCTTCTTCACCTTTCCGATACCGACTTTCCCATCACGGAGCGATTGCTTTGCGATTTTTTCCTGCCACTACTTTTTTTCTACTTGAATCCTCAATTTCATTCCGTTGCTGACCACGATACATTGCTGTTGGAACAGAAACGCCTGATAGACTACTGTTTGGACGCCTTGGGTGCCCTAGCTCGGCGCTTATCGTGGACGTCATATAGAAAGCTCATGGACACGGCAATTTCAAAACTCAACAGCTCCAGCAATCCGGCTTTCGGTGCTCGATTGATGATGACTCTAATCGATGCCTTCGTTCCTCCGGTTTGGTCCTGTAAGGCGTCCACGAATACCGATCCGAACTCTACTGATAGTCAACTGACTACTACGGAACTTCAACCGATGGTTAAAGGTGATCAAGCGGATGCCGAAGAAAAAATGGAGACTGATCAAGCCTCCGTTGAGAAAACCGAACAAGGACAATCATCAAGCACTGATGATCAGACGATTATTTTGGCCTACATGTTGAACGTGGTCAAAAAACTTCAACCATTCATTTCCAGAAGTCATAAGTCTCATACAGACGCTCCTGGAAAACAACCGCAAAAGTTCAATATTGCATTGGTCGTTTCTTTGGTCTCGCTCCTCAAGCGTCTGCCTACAGGTTATCTGGTTGGTCGTCTGCCTCATCTTGTTTTACAAGTGGTCAACGTATTGCGTCCCTCTCCCACATCTCCACCGAAAGTGCGTGCTGATGCAGTGAAGTCCTTGACTCGAGTTGTACGCATATTAGGCCCAGGTAAACCGTTAGATATATTGGTGAGTGTGGTGAGTCAGCAGCTAGACCGTGGTTATGCTGCACAACAAGTTCGTCTATTCACGTTGCACAAGATTCTCGGCGAGTTGGAGTCGTGTCTGACAACTGGAAATATGATCCATCACACCGGGCAGTTGGACACCATTGGCCGTGTGATCAGCAGTCATTATCTAGATGAGTTGGTTGGTTCCCTCGCAGAGGAGATGGATTCACGACGTGCAGCAGGGCACTCCCTATCATCGATTACCACAAACCGTGAGCAAGACGTAACTGATATGCAAACTTCGACGTCAGGTCTAGGTGGGTCCAATACGACGGATCTGCCGGAAGCGAACGGGATCAAGGCCCCCGAAGGCCTTAGTCGTTTATGTCGACTTTTGTCAGAAAGTGGAATAGCAAGACTATTCGAAGATATCGAAAATGCTGTGCTATCCGCAGCAAGTGGATCGGGATTGAAAATGAAACCGGATGGGGCAAATCCGTCCGTTTGTAAAAACTCGGTTGGCTGTGGTTTACGATTCCGATCCCGTGCACTGGCACGCCTCGAAGTGTCCCTTGCTCGCTTACCCACTCGCAACGGAATATTCAGTTTGAGACGCAGCGGCCGTTTATCGGTTTGTAGTTTGGTGCAATTGAGTACACAGATAATTCAGCGCAATCTGAATCAAGTGTTGGCCATAGACTGCACAGATTCAGTGGATACGTCAGCAGCAGTAATAAACAAACCGGGTACCACACGTCCGATAACGGGCTGGAAGCAGCCGAAATCGGCTCCACTTGAACCACGTTGGAGTTACTTGGAGCTCGAGACCGAACCGAGTAGAGATCGTTCAGCAGACTCAGTTGCTCAATCAGACGTGACACAAGCACACTTGCTTGTGAGTTGCGGGTTGCATATTCTAGTCGGCTTGTTACGTTATCGTTGGTTGCAACCGGAGAACACAGAACAAATGATTGAGTTGTCAAAATGTGTACCGCTCATACTGGACTGTCTGCGGTCTAAATACGTACGCGTTCTAGGTGCGGCTCTCCGCTGCTTGAATTTCTTGTTAGTTGTGGCGAGGTCAAAAATGTCTGCTTCCATGATGCCGAATTTTCCCGAGCATCTGAAGACCGCTGGGGATCGCCTGTTTGGCCTTTTGTCTACACATCCAGGTCTACTATCCACAAAGACTGCTGCTACCGATCCATATGCCCAACAATTTGCGTCGAACTTGTATCGAGCTCTTTCTTCGCTAATTCGTCAGCAGAACACATATCCCTTGTCATCGAGTCAGCTTTTGACACTTTTGAATGCGGTCGATATCGAGTTGACACGTGATGCGGCAGCCACTCCTTCATTATCACTCCTGCAAGCTATTCTCCAACGTCGCTTACGTGATTCTGGTTTAGCTAAGGACGANTTGCTGGCGATTTAGACTTACACAATACCGGTTTGATTGTTGCCAAATCGTCTGATAGGGATCAGATGCCCTCAAGCGGAGCAGGTGGTGGTGCGCGACTGGTGGACCTTATCCATCGCTTGCAATTCTTAGCAATCACATCTTCATCCGAACATATTCGTGCAGAAGCAAGATGCTGTCTTGTCCTATTCTTGCTAAACTATCCACACAAAGCCAAATTCGTTCAGAGCTTTGTCGCGTTCTGTTTGCGCCAATTGGAATACAAAAAAGCATTCGGCCGTTCGTCTGCACTAAGTTTGCTAACCGGTCTCACGGCTGACCTACCAATTTCACGGTTAACTGCTAACAATCTGGAGGAAACGATCCTGGTCAGCGTGGGTGCTGCAATCGAAAGGGAATCGGTTCGCGCGCTTCGTGTAAGCATGCTGGCTCTAATTCGCCTACTATTTACTCGTCTTCCGCCAGCACTCGCCGAGGCACACTTTCGTGACTATTTACTCGCTTTCGTTACTGCACCTGCTGCAACTCGAACCTCCGCGAGGTTGCTGGGTTTACAACTCGTCTCGGCCGTCCTTGACTGTCAGCCGTGTCTTGCCTTGTCGAAACTACGACCTACATTGTTAAAGTTGATGGGCACGAATGTATTGCCAACGGCTGCACAACAGTTGCATCAGGTCATACTGACTAATCCTACCGTTCGTCAACTGAGTGGCTTAGCACCGTTGTTTTCCGATCCAAAATTGTGTCCAATGGAAGAGATTGCACGCGCTCAAGCGGTCATGGAGGATGCTGAGTGGGTTGCTGAACTGCATCCAGATTCCGAGATCCGCGATAGTGTTTCGGAAGGTGATGCTGTCAGTGAAGATGACGATATTGATAGTATCAAATCACAAACTGACAATGAACAAGGAGATTTCGTGAAAGAAGATACCGATGAAGTTGATGATGCGGACGATTCCGATGCGGAACCAGATCGCGAAAAAATGCACTTTGAAGAGGCTGAAGAACAGGCTCGGGGTCAGTGTGAATCGTACGTTCCCGCTAGTGAAACAGAACAAACTTGTTCACGATCGGTAAGTGCCGTTCTCTAACAAGCTGGTCGTTTGATATTTGCTGTTTAGTTTTGTCATTTTGGTCTCCAAGTGGTGATTTGTTCACTCATTTACCGGATATCACCTTTGACCTTGGTGTTATTAGTTCTACAAGCATATATATATATATATATATATATATATATATATCCATCGAGAAAGCCTCCCCAACAATTGAAAAAAAAATTTTTTTTTTGCTCCATACACAACAATTTTGGAGACCTGAGCAATAATTACAGTAAAAAACGAAAGCCAAAATCTTTATCAATTCACCTTTGGTTATAATCTACCGTTAAAATACAATAGAATTTCTCAATACAACAACTATATCACGTCCTCGAGAAAGCTTCCAATTTCAGGTCGTATACGCGTTCGTATACCTCGACTGTGTTAAATTTAAAATGTCACCAACTAGGTTTCAATTGGAAATCCCTCTAGTTCGTATTTTGACGTACCGTTTTAGTATTCTGCACACATTTCGAGAAAAAGTGATTCGAATGTTTTCTTTCGATTGTGAATCTGATCTGTACCTATTTATACCATTGGTTTCCGCCAGAAACTGATTATCAGTCAATTTTAAGCCATAGTTGTTTCGTGACGAAAAACGCCTTTGGTACGACCATTTTATGCGGTCGACGACAAAACATACCGGGTACCAGTAAAAAGAAATGTGTATTCCATTGCTACATTCCAGGCAATGCTGCTAGTCTTTCGGACCATTGATTCAGAAAGCACCCAAGGTTCAGAATTTATATTATCCACCCGCTTGTCATGTACCGCTTTTCTTTGCACACGTCATATCGAAAGTAATTGTGGGCTTCAAAGCACCCAATTAAATGTCCTTTTCGGTTACTAAAACGGCGACATTCCATTTACCTTACCACTTTATGTTTCAGTTTTGTCAGTTATGACGTCTCATTTGCTCCACTGTTTTCTTTCTCGTTTGCTATATGATGCAGTTCTAGTTGATCCCTTTAAATTGGCACTCATTTTCAGCGAGATTTTCTTTTCGCCCGTTCCAGTTTTACGCACTATATAGGTGTTTCCTCTTTCGATAGTTTCACAGTTTATCTCAGCGCTGTTGGACAGGATTTCTTGATGACAGTGAGATTAACTTAATCTCGCCATAGGTGTTATTGTCGTGTGTTGTCACGTATGGATGTTTGTCATTGCGAATGCCATGAGTCCGCGAAGGTTGAAACATACGTCCACAGACAACTCGAGGCTGTTGACAGCGGATTCAGCACAATTGCTGTCTACAGCGCAACTGAAAACACACGAAAAGGCTAAAGAACTCCTTTTTGTATGATATGGAAAAGCCGAAACAATCGTCAGTGTTTCTGTCACGAGTTGTAGTTTACTCCGGTGTCCAGAGTCACGCGTTTCGATGAGTGCTCCTTTTAGTTGTTCTCTTTGAAAACGATGATCCTTGCGTATAAGTTCTCTCTGTAACATTTCAATTTTAGGCGCTCGAGAAGCATTACTTGATTGTTGCTCATACAACGGAATACGCCCTCCGTCTTTTACAACGCCTGATGGAAGGTGGAACCGAAGATGACACTAAATCATTGCCAACCAATGGTGATTCGCGAGACACGTACGTAGTGTCTGACTTGATGACATCTGCATGGAGCGTCCTCACCGGAATCACTGAGCTACCTTCAAATTTGAACTCCAAAGAAGGAGAGATAACCCAGAAACGCTCGTCAAAACGCCAACGATATGCGCGTCTGTTGTGCACAGTAGATTCAAAACCGGATCAGTCTGACCGTATGAGTCTCTGTTGTGCGGGATATCGTGGAGCCAGGGAGTGGGCAACGCGTTGTTTGGCACCGTTGCTCCGAGTGGAATCAGCCGCGAACGCAGCTCTACTTTCCGGTGAGAATGTTGAACACTCAGAGTCTGTTCCTGGAGCTGGTTTGACAAAATCCGCATTCTTCAATCAGCTGCGAAAAAAACGAAAGACACGCATCGCGATGGTCAGTTATTTTTCTGTTTTCTGATCCTTCCCTAACATGTTGTTTGTAGTGTTTCTATCCTGAAGCGTAACTAAGGTGCAAAAATCCATGACATTTGAAATGGTGTTATATGCCTTGTCATCGTTAACCAATCCAGTTCGCGTCATCATCTTCCAACATCGTACAACAAACTGACTCATAGAAACATGCAATCCTTTGAAATAATGTGCGATGACTTGATGTGTACACACCTCTGTTTGGGTTTTTATGTTTTTTGTCACCTTTACAGTTGCTAACTGTCCGAAATAATTGGTATTGTTTTCAAGGAACAATTTGATGGGTTTCTCATATACAGTTTTCTCATTTCCATTCATATTTTGCACTCATAACGTTTTCCCGGCATTAAGGATGACCACACAATCGATCTGTCCACAACACAACAATTTTATTTTCAACTTCCCAGCTTGCTCTCTGTTCTCGGTACCCAATTTCCAAATGGATCGATGAATGAACCGTGTCCGTGGTTTGCGGACATTCTTTTACTGTACTCAGAACTTTCTGGTTTGTTGCTAATTCCATTATTGTCTCAAACCAATTACGTTTCCTGTCCCTTCCCATTTCAGCTGGAACTTCTTACTCGGGATACCATATTCCAACTTGATCACGACGCAAAACAACCTTTGAATGAGCAGTGGTCCGATAGTGTAAGTTTACTCACGCGTTACGCTCGTAGTCTGTCTATCATTCATCAATGCCTGTGAACGGAATAACTGTGCCTGTGTTTTGTATGAACCCCGTTTTGGTTTCAGCTGGTGGCCAACCTCGTGCATTTGGGACAGTTGCTGCATTTATCCGCCGGTCGTCGGCCAGTGTTACGCCTATTTCGCAGTATCAATCGAATCGCGTTGGACGAGTTGAATAATCGTCCGAAATGCTATTTTCAAGTACGTTACCGCTACTATCTGTGGGCTGTTTCATTGTAGGTTTTTTCACGACACGATCTGATAACTTGTTCCTCAATTTTCTAGCGCACACTTGTATTGAAAATTACAACAGGACTTCTTCTACGATTGCCCCGACCGAAGACAACCACATTGTTGGAGTTGCTCACCGCGGACCATTCTACACTTCAATTGGAGCCGACTGAATCCGGAGCGGAGAAACCTCGATGCATAGCCTATTTATCTTATCTGCGGGCAGCATCACGTGTTATAGCGCGCGAGTTCCGCCAACGCGAACGACTTGCATTTATGGCCGCCGCGACAATCACCGGCACGGTGGACGATGGCGACAATGATCAACCAGCACTTGCCCGAGCTCGTCTTGGTGGTGTGAAACTGAGCAAAGAACAGTCAGTGCGGGCTCGAGCTAGACGTCGAAAAGCACAGGTGAGATAACTCTTTATGGTGGAACTGAGTGCTTGCTTCTTGAGTTTACCACGCGATAGGGAAGCATCGGGTATGTTCCCTGTTTATTGTTTTTTACTCATCTGTGTGCACATATGGTGGAACAGAATTATACTGGTGGTTTATTCGATGACAGACCAGCAAAACAAGGATATTGGATTCCTGATGATCCGAGTTCCTCTAATACTTGAGTACAGCGACATACCTACCTTATTTTCCACGTGCTTGTGTCTCAATATCCGTTCCAGTATCTGTCCAGGTATAATGCAAATCAAATTCACCATTTTATAAACCAAATTACGGCTAACATGGATCTCGTATTATTTCAGGCACGTCTTCGTCGAGCACTCATGTCCGGAACAATGCGGCCTGAGATGGCACAAGATCTTGTTGCATTGACCGCGGCCAGTCGAGCGCAGGCCGGACCAGATCAGTTGGTGAATGTGATCGAGGCCGCCGAATCCACACTGGAACAAGAGTTCGGCGAGAACGGAGCAACTGTGATCAAATTAGTTTGCAGTCAGGCTACTCGAACGGCGAAAGCCCGTCAACAGGCACGCACAGTGACTAAAGCCACTAAGGAAGCACTTGGTGCTGCTTGGTCAGGTAAAGCGAAGAAACGAATCGCGGAGAACAATTCTGTTCCGAAAACGAAACGGGCTCGAATCGAAAAGAAGCATACTGATGGTGAGTATTTGTTTTTGTTGGCGAATTCGTAACTGTGATATCAACAGACCTCAAGCCTGGATGTATGACTTTGTCCCTTTTGAAGCTCTTTCCATCAGCCGCTTGTCACAACTGTTCATATGCACCACTTTTCATCAGTCTAACCGTATCTGGAGGACACGTGTCTAAGCTGGTTGGTAAAATTCCCGATCTTCGATTTTTGGTTCACGCATAAGTAGGATGCGAGCGGTCGCTGTGTTGCAGCACGAAACACATTAGTTGTGTTACACCGCACTTGAAGTGTTTCTCAGGTTCAATTTCGGTGTTTCCTATCAATCGCGTGTTTTCGTACTGTTTGGTGGGAGTTGTACATTGCGGATGATTTAGTAGCGGATGTCACAATTTCA